GAGCCTTTAAAATCTGAAGACTCAGAATGGACTCAGCAATAAAAGTGCACTGAAGAATTGCCACATTCATGAAAATGCTCTCACAGCCTGCTCTTCTCCCTGTAGCCAACTAATTACTAGTTCCTGCTGACTCCATGCAGGTGAGACAGAAATGACTTCCTCACATCTTGGGAAGTAACGTTACCGTTTTTTTCCTGCCATCTTGCGTCCTCAAATGCCAAGTTCAGCTAAGAAGTCTGCATCTTAAGAAGCCATATTTAGAGGGACAGAAACACCCATTTAAAATCAAGACCGTTAAATTCGCATCATTCATTGCTAATGTCCAGTGTTGGCAAAGATGTGAAGACATGAAGACCTTCATGAAATGACTAGTGAGAGAGAATACTGGTGTGAACCTTTTGGAAGACAGTCTGGCACGATGTACCAAAAGTAACAATGTGTAGGTACACCTTCGACACAGAAATTATTTTCCAGGGCGCCTGGGTGGCTCAGTCGTTAAGCGTCTGCCTTCGGCTCAGGTCGAGCCCCACTTTGGGCTCCCTGCTCGGCAGGAAGCCTGCTTCTCCCTCTCCCACTCCCCCTGCTTGTGTTCCCTCTCTCGCTGTGTCTCTGTCAAATAAATAAATAAAATCTTAAAAAAAAAAAAAGAAATTATTTTCCAGAATTTATAACAAGGAATATAATTATCCGTAAGGATGTAGGTACAAGGATGTTCATTATAGCATTTCTTAGGATAGCAAAAAAAAAAAACAAAAACAAAAACAAAACAACCACAAGAGGGGAAAAAATAATCAGTTAAGTAACACAGTACAGCCACATAATAAATTCCGTGTAGTTAATATATAAGGTAGTATATGTCTATCTCTATATTACTTTTTTTTTTTTTTAAAGATTTTATTTATTTGACAGAGACACAGCGAGAGAGGGAACACAAGCAGGGGGAATGGGAGAGGGAGGAGCAGGCCTCCCACGGAGCAGGGAGCCCGATGTGGGGCTCGATCCCAGGACCCTGGGACCACGACCTGAGCCGAAGGCAGACGCTTAACGACTGAGCCACCCAGGCACCCCTATATTACTTTTTAAGTGTTATAGTTTATACTTAAAAAGTACTGATCTTTTTTTTTTAAAGATTTATTTACTTATTTATTTGAGAGAGAGAGAGAGAGAGAGTGGGGGAGGGGCAGAGGGAGAGAATCTTCAAGCAGACTCCCTGCTGAGCATGGAGCCCAACTCAGAGCTCAATCTCACAGCCCATGAGATCATGACCTGAACTTAAATCATGAGTCAGACACTTAACCGACTGAGCCACAAAGGTGCCCCCAAAAATGTACTGATCTTAGGTGTACAGTTCATGAGTTGTGAAAATCTCGTACAAACCATGTAGCCAACATCCAAAACAAGAGATAGAACATTCCATCATCCAGCAAGTTCCCTCAGGTTTCTTTCCAGCCAATCCCCACCCCCAAACAACCACTTATTTTTTGAAAAGAAAGATCTTACTTCTAAGTAATCTCTACACCCAACATGGGGCTCAAACTCACAACCCCAAGATCAAGAGTCACATGCTCCACCGACTGAGCCAGCCAGGCGCCCCAAATAACCACCTTTTGATTTCTATCACTATAAATTATTTTTGCCTGTACTTTACATAAATGGACTCTCCTAATGCATTTAAGGAAAGGGTGCTTTGGTTTAACCATCTTCTGATTCAGAGTCTTTGACCTCTCTCTCCTTCCTAGGAGCTGGAACACTAGTGGGAGCCTGAAGCCATCACCCACCACCATTGGAGACCTAACTAAGCAGGAGTCAAGGGGATTCCACAGGGAAAATAGTCAAGAAGCCACTGGTTATGAGCAGTGCTCTGGGAAGTGGGAAGCAATAACTCCCAGGACACTCTTCCTTAGGTTTATCTTTCCTTATTTCTTCCTTCTTTCACGGTAGTAAAAAATGACACTTTTGGAGTAAAACCCAGCTAAAACAAAGGATTAGGATTTAGGGAGCAAAATCCCACTTGGAGAGAGCACTGGGAGAAACCGCAGGACAGCTGCAAGTCCATTGAGCAATACCCCACACAGAGCCAGCAAAATCCCAGCACGACTACACGTTTGTGTCTGAGCCCACAGCAGGCTGCTCCGGGACCTGAAACAACAGGGCAGCTGAGAAGCTTGTGAGCAAAGGCTCACAGGGAAAACAGGCTCCTGACCTGGGAGAGGGATTTACATCCAGGAACGAAGGTGTTTACTTCACCACAGGCAGACCTACGGGGTACAGGCTCTGAGCAGAAGGTTCCAGACACTGATGAAGGGCAAGGCATTCACTCTCTCTAGGTTCTTTTTTTTTTTCCCCCATTTCCTGGTCAAGGCTGAAATGCTGTTACATTTCTCTAGAAGAAATGGCATCAGGCCCTTGATACTGCAGAAATGAGCTGACGAAAAAGAAGGCTGCAGCCGCCGTCAGACTCAAGATTGATTCCCAAGACTTGGGGAATTCAAAGGCGAAAAAAGGCATTTTGCAGTTCTCAGCAGACGTGGTAGGGCCACGCTTCCTTGGAATGAGGCTGGCAGGGAGGTGACAGCCCCAGGCCTGCTCCCACACCAGTTTCATCTCTCTCCCAGCCCCCCTCACACTGGAAACGCCACTGAACCTCTCCCTCTGCCAAGCTGCCAGGAGCCCCGGAACTTGCTTGGGGGCAGCCCGGGGGGCGGGGCCAGGACATTTGCAAGCTCTCCGGAACTAGAACCCTTGCAACTGCATTGTCATCTCTTGCTGGGGACATCCAAAGAGGCCCACCTGCAAGCAGCTCTGAAATCTAGCTCAGACTCTGCAAAGTACAACCAACACCTGGTCGCAGGAGTTCTTGGAATTCCGGAACCAGGATTCAGATCCTGTGGTTCCAGACAAACACCGGATAACCGCTGAGACTCCAAAACGTGCTAAGCCTCTGCCCCAGCTGAAGTTCACTGCTGTTCCTGTGGCAAGTGTGATGCTTAGAGACACTCAGTATCATCGAGAAAAGTCCCCCATCAGCTTTTACGAAGTGATAACCCGAGACCGCCAAAGGAGAGGTCACGAGAATGACTGCCCTCAGATACGGGCCTTCTTTTGAAGTGATGGAGGTATTCTGAAATTAGATAGTGGTGGTTGTTGCACAACTTTGTGAATATACTAAAAACCACTGAATTGTATACCTTGACAGAGTGAATTTGATGGCGTGTGAATTATATCTCATTAAAAAAAAGGGGGGGGTCACTAAATAATTACAACAAGTAGAAGAAAGAGAAGCAGAGTCAAGATCAAGATTTTGTTCCAGGAAGACTGGCTCTTATTAAGCTGACATCTCTTTGGCCCTTGCATAAAATATTTCTTTCTTCTTCTCCTCCTCCTTCGTATTTTTTTTAAAGTCAAATGCATCCTTGGGAACTCGAGTGATAGATACAGTGATAAACGTTTTTCCCCAGCAAACTCCCGCAGCCTTGAAAACACAATTTCGGGTATCATGTCCTCCAGAAAGTTCCCGGATCCCTTCCCTACTTCCAAGATAAGAGCCCCCAAGGATTCCAGATCCCCTAAGTGCCCTTTGCTCACCTATGACTAACACCTTATATTGAAATTAGCTGTCTGCCCTCAGCTCCCACTGGCACCGCCTTGGCACATGAGAGGTATGTGAGAAATGTGTCCTGAACGAACTCAACACCCTATCACCATCTTGTTGGGCTTCTTAAAAATGGGCACGTGACGGGATGAGCACTGGATGTTATACTGAACCGATGGATCATTGAACATTACATCAAAAGCCAATGATGTACAATACCTTGGCTAATTGAATTTAAATTTAAAAAAATTTTTTTAATTCATACTTTTTTTAACGCATCTACTTTAATTCTGCAGCACTGCACTTCTGCAACCATATAACAAGCCATTTGCTACCGAAAACAACAGTGTATCATAAAACGTTTTCTCAGAGGAAATGCAGTTCATTCATGCCAAGAATAAATCAAGTGGACCCCGTGAGGGATTTCTACCTTGGTACAGGTCAAGAGGGAGAATGAATCAGAGCATCAGAATCCGTGCTTCCTGGTGGGTAAGGAGATAAAACATGTTCTCCTCTCCCTTCCTTTTCCCCGAAAACCTTTAAATATCACAAAGCTTTTAAGCAGAGTCATTAAGTCTATGCAAAGCCATCCCAGAACCAGGAGTCTTTTCCTGCCTTTCCTCTTCCTTACTGTTCCTAGATTTTCTTAGAAAACCAAAGAGCTATAATGTCATGACACGCTGTACACAAAGTTCAGCCAAGAGTTTCAGGGCCCACTGAAAATTAGGATTTTGCCCACCCATTGTATTCAACCAACATGTGCCCAAAGCGTCAGAGCTGCTGAGATCCAAAACGTTGCTCTCCTTGCCCTGCTGATTCCTCTGAGAGGTTAAGTCCCATCTCTAACCCAGCACCACTCTGAGCTCCCGGAGGCCAACATCACAATGCCCGCCCCCTGGGCCCTTAGTGCGCAGTGTGCACCATGGGGAGCGCCAGAGTCACCCCAAGAACACCCCAGCTGGAGTTACAGAAACCTGCAGATGGTACACCATCTCTGAGAGCCCCTCCTTGTTTGGTAGAAAAATGTTCAAATGCACAGAACAAGAGAAAGAATATTCCGGTGAACTCCCACAGACCCACCCCCCGACCCCCAAGACTGAACAACTCACAGTTTGTCAGTTAAGATCCTTTAGAGATCATAATAACACTAGATACCTCATAATACCCCTAGATACTTCAGCATGCATCTCCCAAAATGAGAATATCATCCCCAGTATCACGATGCCGTGATGCCAGCTAACAGCAGTAACAACAGTTTCCTAACACTAACTAATACTCAAATTTCCCTCATGGACCTTCTGAAAGGAGAGTCCCTCCCTTAAATGACACCCTGTCCCGGTCCTGCCCTCTCCCTCCTCCACAGGCCAGACACCTGTCCTGCCATCGTGGCGGCCCCCTCCTCGAGTACCTGTGCAAAAGCTGCCATCATTGGGAATGAATGTTTTGTTGTTGTTTGTGGCTCGATATCCTTCTAGGCAAACACAGTAAAAGCCTCCGAGCGTGTTGTGGCAAGATGTGTGGTTTCCGCAGACCACGGTGGCTCCAAACTGGCACTCGTTTTTATCTGTTGAAACGTTGAGACAACACACAGAAAGGGCTATCAATCCATACCATGTTCAGCAACCCAGACTGTTCTCCTGTGCTATAGACTCGGGAGTTGCTATTCCGTGACAACACCTCAAGGGTCTATTTCCCCAGCCTCTTTTCTTTTCACGATGCTTCTCAGACTGCAGGGCATGGGTCCCTTGTAGTCGTGCGCTAGGTGTATATGAAACCACAAGAGAGGGGCCCCTAGGTGGCTCAGTCAGTTAAGCAGCCGACTCTTGATTTCGGCTCAGGTCATGATCTCAGGGTCATGAGATTGAGCCCCACGTTGGGCTCTGCACTGAGCACGAAGTCCGCTGAAGTTTCTCTCTCCCTCCACGCCCCCCTACCGCCCGCACACTCGCGCTCACTCTAAAATAAATAAATAAAATCTTAAAAACACACACACAAGAGAAACCCAACATCTTAATCTGAACATCATCTTATTTGAAGATTGGGAGAAGGGGACTGCACATTCCCCCATCAACCGTTAATCTGTCATTATATACTATTCCAGCTCTGTCTTCCAAGCTGCATACTGTGATTCTTTTTCAATTTCTCCATATTCAAAAAGATCTTGGGAAAGAAACAAATCCAGGAGCATCCCATTTTTCCAGCTCAGCTAGCCATTCTCTTGCTTTTTTCATGAAAGGCAGACCAGGACGATTTTGCATCCAGTGATTAACCGGAAAATTTGTTACTTCTGAGTTACCAGGAAACACAATGGAATTAGTGCTTAAGCCTCATCCGGGAGCAGAGCTAATATGGTGGCAGACACAGCTCCTGCTAATCGTCAGTGACCCATGTGAATAATATTAGTCACCCAGTGAGAAGGAGCTGAAGTATACGATGCCTGATGAGTCTGCAGAGGCCTGACCTGAGTATTTTTAATTCAGTCATTTGACATAGGTGTCAAATGAAAGTAAATCTCCCTCCTGTCTCTGTCCTGTAGCTCAGGGCTTAGCGAACCTTTTCTGTGATGGGCCCGTCAAAGGTCTCCAGTGGCAAGTGTTCACCCATGCTTTTGGAGCACAAAGCAACCACAGACAATAAGTAAACAAACGAGCAATGTTGTCTTCTAATAAAACTCTATTTACAAAAACAGGCAGCGGCCAAATTTGGCCCACAGGCCTCTGCTGACTCTGCTCTGGCCTCTACCATCAGAAGAACTCCTGTGACCAATTTCTTATGCATTCTTTCAGAGCTGATCTCCCCTGCTGGTGGTTTGGGTTTTGTTTTGTTTTGGGGGGGCGGGATCACCAATTTATGAACTGGAGTTTTTTCTGACTGTTATTTAGTGTTTTACTGTTCACCTCTCACAACTGCACTCAATTCCTGCCAACTCAAAAGTACCTTTCTCAAAATCTGGTGTTCCTTCCTCCACCGCCCCCCATTCTCCTTATAGGTGTTACCTTTTGGAAAATGTAACTGAACACAGAACACACTTCACTGTTAACACTGTCCGTGTTGAGATCTGCCTGGGAGCTAAGAGAAACAGCCCTCAAGCCACAGCCTGGCCAAGTGTCCAGCCCAGCTTATGAGCACTGCACGGGGCTTTCGGACACAAGTCCATAATGGCACATTCCGGTCCTTGGCTGTTATTTCTGAGATAGGGCCTCCCCTGCAGACTTCACCAGAAGGGACAGTGGGTTTGTAGAGAATTCTAAATTTCTGAGGTCCCTTGACTGCAGACCACGTTACAGCACGTGGGGCACACAGGTAATGTCACCTGTGACCTGCGGTGTGGTCTCAGAAGGCCACGTACTGGGCGCCTGGGTGGCTCAGTCGTTAAGCGTCTGCCTTCGGCTCAGGTCATGATCCCAGGGTCCTGGGATCGAG